CAGGACTCAGCGGGTGCAGAAGAGGTTAACGAAAGGAAAGCCCCACGAGCCAGACGAACGACCTGGACATGAACGGCCCGCATGCCTAGATGTGTGCACGGAGCGCCTTACGCCCATGGCCCATTCCGAATTACTCACGCCAGCCCTAACCGGTCATCCCCTGTCTGCCATGTGCTTTCCAGTCCCCCTCATTCAAGCCCCATCGCCTTACGTGATCTCCACTGTGGCCTTATTGAGCTGGTCCTGGAAACCTTGTACGGCCTGCAGGGCCTCCGCACTGCAAAACAACCGGGCAACATGTGCTGAACACGATGAAAAGCAAAGACGCTCGCGGACGCCGAGAGGATACTGGCAGTGCCACAAGAAGAGAGCTTTCCGTAGTCCGCGACAGATATTTTGCGACTGGTGTCACAGATGCATTTCCCAAGCAGATCCCCCAACAGGTTACATAGCAGGCCCCGGTGAAGCTAGACATGTGGAGCTAATAAATGGGCGATAGCTGACTTGTGGCCTCAAGTACAGGTCCACAGAGTGTGAGCCCATGGCTTAATAGGGCAAGGGAACTCCCGACCATGATAGTAACCCAGGAGGTGGAGAGACTTACTTTTGTCGCGAGTAGCGTGGGGGAAAGACGAACCACACGCGATTGAAGCTGCTGCTAGGGCAAGATAGTAGCAACCGAAAGAACTGACCGAAAGGCATCCGTGGCGACTGTGACGACTGTAACCTCGGGATGACGACTGTAACCTCGGGATGACGAAGTGACGTAGCTGTTGGAAGTCCTACCTACCTAAGCCGCCAGAAAAAAAGGCTGAATAGTATAGCCAAACCGTAAACTGGTAGGTGTAAAAAAAAGTGTGAAGGCGGCGAGAAAAATAGTGCTGACGTAAAAGTGGAGTAAAGTTGCCGGCCAGGAGAGAAAGCTGCATTGCTGATACTGAAAGGCTGCCGGTATGCAAGTGCTCCTCCCAACCCCCCCCCAAAAAAAAAACTAGAACGCGCGACTGACCCGACCGACCCAACTAAACTATTCCGGCTAGCCTACCGACGCCAACGCGAAATACCAAAGAAGCTCGAACCACCCTTTGGACTCACCTGGCCAGGCCGCCGAAGTAGTGGCAAAAGGCACATGCAAAAACAAAAGGGTAACAAAGAGGTGAGGCGGGTGCGATAAAGGACAAGGGGACATGCAAATGCTGCTGAGGAATAGTAGTAGCTGGCTGGCTGATTTGAAATTTTGACTGAAAAGGGAAATTTAAGGAAAAGGAAATGCTTAAGGAAGGAAAAAACAAAGCGAAGTGTCGTACCGGATGAGGGAATGATGACGCAATGAGCAAAACGGGGTGAAAGCAATTTGGGAAGTAATAATAAAAAGCAAAAAACAAAGGAACAACAAAAGAAACAAAAAACAAAAAAAGAGACGAAACAAAAAAAGAGACGAAAGAAAAAACAAAGAACAGTGTGTGGATCGGGGCCACATATGGCTCCCGCCAAACCGTGCGCACCAGGAGCATCTGCATGCAGCTCCGTGGTGCCTAAAAAAGGAAAAGAATAAACGTAAGAGGGGCAAGGAAAGAAGAACTACAAAAAACTAAGGGCAGGGTAGAGGGGAAGGAGAATAAGGAAGTAGGGTATGAAGCAGGTGAAGGATGTGAGCTAGGATATCGAAGCCATTACGGCGTTGAACTAAGAAGAGTAGCGTGGGGGCTTGACGTCCCGCTCGTATCTGTGAGATTTCAGGAAGCACAAGGGTAGACAGAGCAGCCAGCCGCATTCCTAGTCTCAGGCTTTCATATATGCAGCAGAGTGTGACACCGGGTGACAGGGTGTGACACCACAAGAGAATCCCGGGCGTCTCCGGTTCAAGACCTGAGAGCTGCGACCCTACAATTGGAGCTGATCGCGGTGCAACACGATGCGTCCTTAACCAGCTGACAGGGCAGGTGATGATGTGGGAGGAAGGC